TCAATGACGGCAGATACATGTTGGAAATGGTTGTCACACACGGTAGAGAATGGAGATGGGTTGCAAAAATTAGCAAAAATCGGCCAAATTGGGGTTATCAAGGCTGGGAAAACGTTTGGGAAATGATAAAGTGATGATTCTGGTCGATTTTGGTGAGAAAATCGACCGTAATCATCACTTTAATGTTGGCAGTGGCACTATAGCGGTGTATAGAGGTGGAGATACAATGTTTTCGTTATTTTAGGGATTGAATCGGTGTCTTGAAATTTAGACATATAAATTACTATTTTAGCCTTTGTCAATTTAGGGATGTGAATGAAAAATATGAAACATGATTTTTTGTAAATTTATGTAAAAAAATTATAATGAATTTGGACATTTTTGGTATTTTTTTGAGCCCTTTGGACCGATTTGGATAAAAAATTATAGACTTTTTTTAGGCCTAATGGTATTTCTGTAAACCTGTTAAAAAAAAAAATTAAAATAATTTTGGACCCTTTTTTGGGTCTTTTTTGGAGGAGCCTTAGGCAGGTGCCTCACCAGCTAACCCATTGGGCCGACCCTGCCCACTAGCCCCATTTGACTGTTGTTGCATTGTAGGTCAAATTCCACATCCTTCCATGCGAGAAGAGGCCAGTGTCGTGGATTCTAGGCTAGGAAATGACTGTTTACCTAGACAACTAAAATCGAGCATCAACAATAGGTTCATTTAATAGGATTATTGATTTAAAATTATAATGATGCAATTTAATCTGGATAATAATGAATTGCTGAAAGACTTACTCATTTAAAGAATGTTATTTTTTTTAAACAATGTTTTTTCCCTTATTTAACTATTTGATTCATATTCCAATAAGTAGCATGTAAAGGTCACAAACCTCTTTTGGCTTGATAATCTTATCAAATTAGTCGTAAAAAATGCCAGAGATGTAAACGAAGAATTCTTCAAACTTAACAATATAGAAATAGTTATTAAATCTTTCATTATAGACTATTTAGAATATTTAAATAGTCCAGAATGAAACGTCCATTTTTAAGCATAATTATCAGTAATAGTGTTATAAATATTAAAAATATAAATTTTTATATCTGAAGCAATCTTAAGGTGATAAATATAACCTACAACATTCTTCAAACTACTAAATAAATTTAAATTGACATTTAATTTATTAAATAAATAATTTAATATATTTATAAAAAAATTTAGATTCACCATCGCCGCCGGTCAACAGTAGTCAATCAACGGTCAAAACCAAACGTGCCTCCGTCAATCTCATTGAGATCAAAAGGCAACGATCTATCAAAGTTTGGCGATTCTGACACTTTGTTTGGTCGCAAAAGGCAACAAAAGTTTCGATTGCCTTTTGCGGCCAAATGGAATGTTGAAATTTAGTGGATCGATTGGATTTTGATAGATCTTTGCCATCCAGTCCCGATAGGCCTGGTAGTGGTGACAAACACACCACTTCTTACGATGTTGAGTGGTAGTTGACCAGATCATTATTTTTTTATTGAATTAATAAAAAGTTATTTTGTCGTATTTATCTTTTTATGTGATGCTATCTGCTATTGTTCTTAACTTTTTTGTTAATAAAAATTTTTAAGAAATTTTTAAAGTCAAGTAAAAAGCTCTTTTACTTTAGTTTTTTATTTTATAATATTTTTGTAAGGGAAAACGACATTTTTCCATCTAAGGTTTGACAAAATGACACTTTCTCGTCTACCAAGTTTTAAAATGACATTTTCTCACTATATTTTGTTAGGAAAATCTGTTTTTAAGAAGGGCAAGATAGTCAATTTATGTGAGCCTTGACACCAGACTTTGTTGCACTCTCGCTTCAGCTTATTAAATTCTCTGACTCTCTCTGTTTATAAGAAAAAAAGAGTCATAAAAAACAAAAAAAAAAACAAAAAAAACAAAAAAACCCTATTAGCGTTTTTTCTCTGCAACAACTGAAACGATTCCATCTCGGCAATGGCTAACATTAATCTCCCCCAACGAATAATCAAGGTTACGCTCTCTTTCTCTCTATTTCGATCGGTTTCTCTATTTCTCAGATTGTTTTCGTTTAAAAAACCGATTCAATTTCGTCAATTGAAGTCTGTATGGGAAGGATTCCTTGTTCTTTTATTTTGATGCTCTAATTTCCTCCGATTCTCTCTCTTATTGATTGGATTGATTGTGTAATATAGGGAGTTTAATTAATTGAGATCTTTGCTATCGATTGGACGGTGAAATCAGGATTTTGTTGTTGATTATTTTGTGTTGTGTTTTGAATTTTTTTTTTTTTTGTTGATCCAAACAGGAAACTCAACGTTTCGTTAGTGAACCAGGTGAATACTTGATTACCTCTCCGCTTATTTTATTTATTTATTTTTGTTTTTTATTTTTGAGTTATGTGCATTTAGTTTTGTTTGGTTGGGTTTCGGTAGAGTTGATTTTGTGGTTTTTGGATACAGCTCCCGAGATAAGTGCTTCACCGTCGGAGGATAATATGCGATACTTCAATTTGATGACTTTTGGCCCAACACAATCGCCATAAGAAGGTAAATTGCTGAGTGATATATTGCTTTTAATGTCACAGAATTCTTATGGTTGCTTTGGTTATGTAAAGTTGGAATCCCCATTTGGGTTCTAGAGGTTTGTTCAAGAAGACTGTCTATCATAGATTTTAAACATATCTTTCACGACATTCTCTATTAGATTTTACATACTCCGTGTAGTGCTTTTTGGCTGAAGTTGTGTCATGAAAGTGGGTGGTGAATTTCACTTATTACTTCTAGTCATTTATTTGGCGTGTGATGAAAGCCTCAATCAAGCTGATTTTTATGCAATTCTGGATTGTTTCAGGCAACTCCAAAACTCAGTGAAGATAATGTGAAGCAATGCGTTGACGCCAAATTATATGGAGATTAGCCTCCTAAGGCAGTTGCAGAGGTACTAAAGATGGTAACTTTGGCTGAAATAATACATCAAATTCGAGGTTTCTTGGTGGAAGAGCAAAAGATTGTAAAGAAGGTTTTTAAGATCCAAAAAGCAAAGGAAAAAGAAACATCAAGGAGCTAGAAAGTGGGAGGGTGAAAGCAAAACTTTTTGGATTTTAAGAAATGAATGAGCTTTCTGTGATTTGAATTCCCTGTTTTTATTGGGTTTGAATTGACAAAATTTCTTATATATATGCATTGTAAATTTACAGTTTGGATTCTTACTTTAGCAAATCAGTAATGCTAAGTTGCTACTGCCGTGTTGTTGTTATTTTCTTGCTGCCATGTGGGCTGTTGTGGTGGTGTGTGTTGATCTTGCTGGTGTGGGTGTTTTTTTTAGCCTTTTAATGCTGCTGCTGTGAGTGCTCCAGGTGCTAAGTTGTTGCTGGCGCGTGATTGCTCTTGTTTTTGTTGGCATTTTGTGCTTGAGTTTGTGGTCCTGCTCAAAGATTTCGCCTTTGTAAAGGTTTTTCTCCTTGTTAGGGTTTCCTTTATGTTTGGGACACGTTGATGAGAGGTTATCTCCGGATAGCTTATTCTTTATTCTTATAATATTTTCAATTACCCAAAAAAAAAAAAAAAATCAGTAATGCTAACACTTAGATTTATTTGGGTTTAAATTGACAAAATTTAAACATAACTGTCAGTTTAATTGTAGCAACTATAGGGACAAACTAGTAATTTTAAAGGTTTCAAATTTTAAAAATCTAACGTAATTTCATTGATTTAAAATATTACTTTTAATAAAAAATTGGATGAACAAATTTGATATATAGTTGAGGGTATAGTAATAATTTCATATTTAAAGAGGGGTATATTATTATTGACATGACATAAAATAAAATAAAAACTTGTTAAGTCAAATAATAAAGAGTGTTTTCGTCTTTATAGCTAAACAGTAATGGATTTCATAGCCGAACATTACGGTGGGTAGGAAAATGTCATTTTGCCAAACCTTGAGTGGAAAAATATCGTTCTCCCTTATCTTAACTAAGTTTGGGTAATGGGTTGGGTATAGGGTACCTCAAACCCAACCCAAATGAATAGGTTAAGATTGGGACAACCTAATCTTACTGCAATTTTAATTGGGCTGAGTATGGGGCCTCCCAAATAGGTTGAAACCCGCAGACCCCAACCCATTTACCCACATTATCATCGGTACTTCTTCATCCGGTTCCAAAGCTCAGAGGCAATGCATCCAAAGTTGTCAATGCAAGGTGCTGCTTAAGTACAACGGTGTCTATGTAATAAGTATTCACTAAGCAAGTAGTTTCTCATAACAAGTAGCCCAATTGCAACTCGATCGCTTTGAAATCGACTCTTATGTGTGAATTATTTAATCCCTGTAATTATTTAATGAATGGAGTGATCTTTTTTCCTTGTCTATCTTTTTCAGTTTTATATTATTTTTTGTTTTATTCTGTTAACTTTATCACATTGCAGATTTTAACATCTATACACAGTGTTGAAATCTTTAATTCCCTACAGCGTTAGTATGAAGAATATAAATGGCACAGTTGCATACAAATTGCTGTTGTAAAAGTTGATCAAAACAATCTGCATCGTGGAATATATATTTCAGTTATTCGGTTCAAAACCAATATCTACTTAGGATTATCCAAGACCTAATGTAATATAATAACAAATAAATTTCAAATTCTACATCAAGATGATTTCAAGTGAGTTGAATTGGGTTCTCAATTAATTAAAAGGAGAACAACAACAATTAAATGCTAAAGAGAAGAACAGTTTAGTTCAGAAATATGGCAGTGTGGGTTTATGTTTGCTTTCATTACTTAATTACCTGGGCGGCTTTTTTATTTTTATTTTTTTTTATTGTCATTTTAATGCTAGTCAAGTTTAGGAACAGGATTACCACTCTCAGTTTCAAATAGTTCTCTATTTATTATCTGGCCTTATTACTTTGCTTAGATTAAATTCAATTCGGTTTTATTACATAATTGAGACCAAACAAATCAACCAATCCTTTATACATACATTACATAACAGCCCCTTTGATTGACAACAGTGAAATCCTTTGATTCTTCGTATACAATATTGATAAATAAAGTACAAATAAAACAAAAAACGAGGAAAGTATTATACTTGGTAGTATGACCTCAACCCAATATAAAACAAAACTAATATATGTTTACAGTTCTAATCAGTTGAATTGAGAACCCAGCTTTATTCTCCATTTCTTGGATGAATGCTTTAGTTTAATCTTCTTCTTCTTACCTGAAATCTTCCCATCCTTACCAAGCTTCACTTTACCTTCCAACTTGTGATTCTTATGATGCTTACTCTTAATGCCTATAGTCTTAAACCGAATTCCAGTTAGAAACTCCACTTTTAATTCAGCCGTTGCATTTGATAATGCATTGCGAAGAGCTTTCCATACACGCCCATCAACATCCAAATGATTTGCCCTATATTGAGTGGCATCCTTTCGTAATTTGAAAGAAGAAATTCTATCTGTTGCAGCTGTATCCTGGCCATGGAAGAATGTCAGTGAAATAACGTCAAACCAGATAATAGAGTCTTTGTTTGGATTTTTAATTTCAAGGTTATATGCGAGGGAGCCATTCTGTTTTCCATCAGCGGCTGGTGAAGAGCTATTATCTATGGGTGGAACTGAGATTTCCACAACGGCAACAGTTGGGTTCTGGGGACGTAAACCTAGCCATAAACAGAGGACAAGAAGGCCCAAAAGGCTTACAATTTGGAGAAGCCAAAGATAGAAGTTCTTTGTTTCGCACATTATTATTAATATGTTTGTGGAGAGGTTGGGAAGAGATTTTCAAGGATGATAGAAAAATGGTTTCTTAGGGAGGCAATATTTTCAGTAACAAAAGGTGAAAGGCGTAGCACTTGCTTTTGAATGGTGCCAATCGAAAGGAGCATATAACATTTACAAGTCATCAAAGTTCCAAGGATAAGGAACAGATGCTTTTCTTTCGTTTGGAGTGTTCTTTTTGCTTTTATGGGCCACATAAAGTAGCTACATGGAAACTCCGTTCTCTATACCTCGGAATATTTTGCACTTTAAGACTCTCTATTCAGACAGAGAAACACTTTCAACATTTTGATTCGGTGGGTTTGCTGAAACAAGATTTGAGTACTCATTCTTGAACAGTTCTTGAAAGCTTTCTGGTGCGAAGCGAACAAGCAAATTTGGCTCCTTAATAATTAGCCTAAAAATCAAATTTTTATAAGTGAATTTTAACTTATAACTAAACATAAAACTAGGAGAAATTTTCTATATATCAGAACATATATATATAGAGAGAGAGAGAGAGAGAGAGAGAGAGAGATTCCTTTCTTCGAAATTTTCCTATAGTACTTGTTCTGTATTCAATCTTGGTGAGGATTGTTGTGGCGGAGGGTGTAGTTGAAGATTATAAAGTTCTAGTTATAACATAATCTCNTATATAGAGAGAGAGAGAGAGAGAGAGAGAGAGAGAGAGAGAGAGAGAGAGAGATTCCTGTTAGGGCCAAAAAATGTCCTCGGCCCAAATAGGATAACACGTCTGACAATGAGGAAAAGTCCAGGCCCAATCCTGGTGCGGCCCAAGCTGGAACTCCCCGGATAAGGCCCATTTGATACGAGGTATAGTCGGTCCGAACCATCTGGACACAGGCCTCCTAATCCCAGTACACTTCCTGGACCTATGATCTAATTCAGAGCCCACGGTCACCTATGGATCACATTCTTACTCGAACATTGATAAAGCAGTCCATTACCATCCCAACTCCTCTAAGGTCCATGTCAGAGTCATACTTGGACTCCCTTTCACGCTAGGATAATGGGGCCAAAGGATATATCCCTCGAGGAAACGGATTACTATGAGAACTCTCAATCCTACCAGGATTGGGAGACCAGACAACCACTATCTAAACAGAGGCCAGGCCTCTCACAAAGCGGATGACATTACACCTTTAGACCCCGGAGTTCCCGCTTGAGAACTTCCCATTACAGTTGTAGTCACAGTCCCCGACTAGACTTCTGGTAACCTCTCTATTCCTTAGCCCTCACTAAATCAGCCTCTTTCAGCCTTGCTGACTTGAGCTTCGGAGTACCTACGGCAAACATCATGTAACAATTGCTGTAAACTAGTACAATGCATGCATAATTATAATAGAAAATGGGCCCAAAACTTTTCTTTTTATTATATGTAATAAGTCTTTTATACACAAAGAGCATTATTTACAAAATGCCATTTAAAAAGACAAAAACATGGGAAACAGTGTAGCTATTGCTCCTCGCTTGCCGACGCCCCTCCGACTGCATCATCACCTAGATCCTGCATCCACAAAGGAAAATAACGGGGTGAGCACAAAATAATGCTCAGTAAGTAAACCCTCTATTTGTCTATCCCTGTATTTATTTCTCTTAATTCTTTCCTCACTCTTTCTTTCTTTCTATTGTTTTCTACTAAACGTCATGGCCTCATCTTACCGGAGGTACGGCCGGATGGCGTTCACACAACACCATCTCACTCTTCATGACTGTCGGGTGGAGTTCACACAGCACCAACCCGCTCTTAGTGACTACCAAGTGGGGATCACAAAGCACCTACCCAGTTTCATAACTATCGGGTGGAGATCACAAATCACCTACCCGTTTCTCATGACTTTCGGGTGACGATCACAAAGCATCAACCCGTTTTTAATAACTATCGGGTGATGATCACAAAGCATCAACCCGTTTCTAATAACTACCGGGTGACGATCACAAAGCATCAACCCATTTTTAATGCTCTTCTCATTCACTCTACTCTAACATTTCTCATTCTCTCTACCCTTAGAGTAGTTGCATTCACAAAGTTCTCTACTCATAGAGCAAGTGCATATACAAAGTTTTCTACTATTTCTTAAGTCAATTAATGCATATGGATGGTTCATGCTCATTAATGCTCTTAGGAAATGCCAATATGCAATGTTGCAATAATTAAGGTTCATAACTCATTCTCATGCATCTCTTAGGCATTTCATCAAACAACTCATGTGCATATAAAACTCTTCTCTAACTACAACTCTATTTCTTTCTTTAACCATCCAAAATTGGAAGTAAATTCCCTTCCATGGGCATAATTCCTACCATAGAAGAACACTCCCAAAGTACATACTCAATTTCATCTAACTTCATCGCAACCCATCACACATCCACACTTCCTATAAAGGAAAAGTATCCAACAATTCATCATGAATACTTATCTCAATTTAATTTCTCAACAAGTAGACATATATCTCTACTCAATTTCTCAAATACATACATAAAACATGCATACATCATTTCTACTAAATCTCTACTCAAAAGAATTCTTAATTCTCAACTTGGGATGGGATTTACTTACCTTGTGATGGAGAGATCTCACTAGCACTTCCTTTCTCTTGGTTTGCTTGACTTTTCTCTACCCTTAAACAACTAAACAATTCAACCAAAAGACCTCAATATTCAAATATACACAAAATCTCACAAAACTTCACATCCAAAGCAAGAATCCTTACCTTAGGATGCCTTAGATTGATTTTCTACCCCAAATCACTCCAAAAGCCCTCTAAAACTCCTTGAACAAAAGAAAGAGAATTTGAGAGGAAGTAAGAAAAGAGAATGGCGGTGGAGAAGAATGCAATGACTTAATTCCTTTTAATACAATTTATGCACAAGCATTCCCATTTTGCCCTTACTCTTCCCTGGGAATTTCATCTAAATCCTTTGATTCATTACAAACACACTCCCATATTAACCTATTTTCCATGAAAATTCCTTACACTTTACTCCCCACTTTTCCTACTAATTAGGGGTAGAATGGTCAAATTGCCCTTAGGGAAGAAAATATCTAAAACTTAACAAGCATTTTGGTCGGCACGTTGCCGCGGCGAAGAAGCTTCTATCACCGCGGCGAAGTTGTCCAGCAGCTTCCCCGTGGGTTTCAACACCTCTTCGCTGCGGCGAAGATTCTTCTTCGCCCCGGCGAAGCCTGGAACACTAAACTTCTTCTATTTTCAACCAATTTCAAGGCAAGTGTTCAACATATCACTCAATCAAAGGCCAACCAAACAATAATACTAATAAACCGACTCAAAAAAGAGCAAAAGAAGAAACATTAGCTACGTACCTCAAGTGGGGCGTTACACATCATCCCGATGTTTTCCTTCGCTTCACGTTTGTTTCTCTACGTGTGCAGGTACAGTAGATCGCTAGTGGCCTCAACCTCACGGGATCAGTCTCTTCTTCCGTATAGGTAGATTTTTACGTCTACAGTTTGACGCCCACCGTGGGGCCTCTAGCAATCATTCGGTTCAACAAACCCTGCTACCTAAAGGAACTTTCCATGGCTGATAATTCTGACAATGCTAACCCCGCTCTCGAGGCCAAACTGGAAGCTCTGACCACCCTCATGCAACAGAACTCAGATAAGGTGGCCGCATTGGAAGTTGAGAACACTACCATTCAGACCGAAAACACCTCCATCAGGGCTGAAAACCAGTCTCTGAAAGAGAAGGTAAGTCAGTTTTATGATCTTGAGCTCCTGTCATGTTAGGTACCACCCAATTGGTTTCGCGCCTCAGTTCCGTCTATGCAACCTCTCCAAACTCTAGAGCACAGACACGCGGCCTCAGATAAAAGGTCACGTCAATTATGTTCGTCATTGGTCGACGACTTGGTTCTGATTCATGGAGAAAAGGATCTGCCAACGAAACCCCTCTCGGTCGATCTGCCTCAGGCACAAGATCAAGGCGTCCAAGTGATAGAAAGCTCGCTACAACAAGAACTGCCCATCCTCACCATCCCACCTCACCTTCAGTCAACCATCCCTACATAAACTCCATTCGGCTCGGTTCACCCTCGCAGGTCGAGTGGTCACCCACACCAAAACATCCCGCTCAAGTCCATCCATCCCAACGGATCGAGCGAGTACCAAACAACCCCCCTAACCATTCATGTCGGGCGAAACACCCGATCAGTTACAATAGGAGTCACCCAGCCGAAGGGAATGAACGGTGATCCAAGCTACCAAGTGATACACGAAGGAATGATCCACCAGGCTACACCACGCGGAATGACCCAACAAAATGTGCCAAGTGCGAATCCTATGGCCGACCGGGTCAAGCGGGATGACCAACTGGTATCCCCCTCTCCCATGGAATAGATATTGGCTAAGAGATTGGTCGACGTAGAGGCAGTGATGAGGCCCATACCCGGAATGCTAATCCCCACCAAAAAGAGCAAGCCCTACTACTATGCCAATTCGCCCTTCGTGGATTCGATCGCGCTAGCTGACATGCCTCACAAATTCACCATCCCCGGCATGAAGCCCTATGATGGCACAACCGACCTAGATGATTACATAGCCTCGTACAAGTAGCGAATGTTCACCGTCTTGATGTGCCAAACGCTAAAGGAAGCCTGCATGTGTAAGAGTTTTGGTTCAAGCTTATCTGGTCTAACTCTTTAGTGGTACACCAACCTCCCGAACGGTTCCATCGACCCATTTGCACAGCTCACCCACACCTTCGTGGAGCAATTCGCCAGCAGCAAGAAACTTGGAAAACTATCGGCCGACCTATACAGAGTATACCAGAGAAGGGGGGAGCCACTGAGAGAGTACGTCAACAGATTCAACAAAGAAAAAATTTCCATCCCTTCCTATAACCCCGAGACAGCTGTAGACGCCTTCAGGAAGGGTCTTCTCCCGGATGGTGAATTATACAAAGAATTGACGAAGCTTGGTTGCTTCACGATAGAGGACGTCTTGGCCAGAGCAGTGATTCAAATAAGGTGGTAGAAAGATGAGATGAATTGGGCAATTCACGCCAGGTATGACCCAAGGCGGAATGAT